GTAAAATACCTTGAATTAAATAATTCTGCAATGACCATATTTACATGGCGGCCATTTTTCAATGACATTATGCTCCCAGAGCAAAGAAAACTAGATTTAGGAAAGATAATCTTTTTATTTTATTTAGATTAAAAGGCTTCTAGATTGATCAGAAACTTAAAAGACAATGAACAGTGAAAATAAAACACAGGGACCTTTAGCCATATTTTCAGTTTAAACAACAGTTTTTGAAAACCTTTTAGCTAGTTTCAGGCAACGGCTAATGTAAGCAATCAGCAACTTCCTAGTTTATATTGTCGTTAGCTAAGAAGTGGTTTAATGCTAACATCACCTTTTGAAAGTGTTATAAGACATGATAGAAAAGAGTTAAGAGATTTAACTTTGTAAACACAACATATTTGATGACTCATTTACTTCTATCAGAGAATAGCTAACGTTAGCATTCATCTACTGCCTTGCTAACATTAGGCTATTGATAGCAAAAAACATCTCTTTTACAATCCCATGAACCACTCAAAAGATAACTTTAGAATCAATATCAGCTAGAAAGTGATGGTAGCTAATGGGTAATCAAATATATTAACTTGACATATGGCCTAATTTATCTCAGGATTTTCATTTTTCTATCTTGTATTTTTTCTGTCTTTTCTTAGACTGAAATTATAACAATTTTTCTTTATCATTTGCATTTCTACATCTTATAATCTGCACATTGTGACTCTACATCTGTACCTTTGCTGTTTACCAGTCACAGATCTCCAGTTTTCCCAGACTCCTCTTGGCCGACCTGTGCCCTTTGCTACAGCAGGGGATTGTTACAGTGCGGCCAAATGTCCACAGGTTGGTGAAATACTCTACTTTTTGGCCTGGTAGAAATGATTCACGTCTTGATGAATATGCCCTTTACCTGAAAAACAACTTAATTTCATTTATTACTCCCCTACATGTGTTTACTACAAGTAAAAATGTGTTGAAGCCGCTTCTTCTGCAGTAATTGCAACAGATCTTTGCTCCAAATATGTAGAAGCTCAGTCTTTGTTGTACAAATACAGCTGAAAAATAACCGTCTTTACATCTTTATGTGTCTTTCAGGGCCAGTTCAGCATTAATCTGATCGGCACTGGCCTCAAAGTGTCTGAGGCCACCAAGTGGACATCTCAGGGCAACTATGTTTCTGTCAAAGTCCACAGATCAGAGGTAAGAAGCCACTGTAACCTTTGTATGACTGATGCTGTTTGGCTCGTTAGGAATTATTTATTTTAGATGAGATGTCAATTTACAACGAGATAATTGTGCTTCATGTTTGGTCATTGGGTACTGGAATGCTTGGATTGTTTTTCTGAAATACCATCTGATTCTCCATATGATACTTTTGTCTGATTCACTTGTGAGGAATCTCCTCTGACATTTATATGAAGCTTCCATTCTCTGCATAAAAAGCTGCCCTTTGCCCACTCTTTCCTCCCTCACATTTGTCTTTGTCCGCAGGATGGAACAAGAATTTACGGTCGCTGTGGCGGTTTCTGTGGGAAGTGCATTCCCCATGCTCACAACGGCCTACTCCTTCAAGTCTACTGACGGCCATGCATGCAGAGACCAAACTATGAACTCTATGCTGAAGACAGAAGCCCAGTGGATATGCGTTATTGTTGATTTCATGGACCCTGTCGTCATCTGTGAGTGACAGATTTTAACAGTAGTCATCCTACAGTTACATCCCCATTTCCCAAATGGCAGCTAAAACATACGAGACCCTACATACTGTGCATTACTGCTGGGCCTCTGTCCAGTCCATCATCCAAATTGCTTACCCTGAAGAAGAGCCAGCAATATCTGCTTGCCAACAGTGTTGCATGATATCAAACACATCTGCGCTTTGGATCCTGAAATACTTTTTTTTCTGACATACTTATGCATTTTAAACATTGAGCGAAGGGATACAATACTTTTAAAAGAAAACACTGGAAAGACAAAAATGAATAGACAATTCTCTGTCTTAAAGAAAAGACAAACACAAATATATGTTTCAGCATTATTTAGAGTCAAACATAAAAACCTGAAACACCAGGATCTAATGCTTTTAGAGGTTACCTTTCAAAGTACACACACAGATATTAATATTTACAGATCAACTGTAGACATTTAGTTACAACTTATCTAACTTGAACTTGATGTTCAACTGAAAGTTTAAGAATACACATTTATGTTAAACTGATCATAAATCTCTGGTGACAAAGAAGTGATACATACAGACTTTAAAAAGAAGGTTGCAGATAGTTGTATCAATGTTTTACAGTATCAGACATTAGGCTGATAGTCCATAATACTAGCAGTATTTTTTTAATTGCCTAAGCACAGATCGTCTTGGTGTTACACGTTTTGGCTTTTACTCTGTTCAATCTTGTTAAGAGCCAGAGGAGTACACTGATACCACCCGTATATGTCACATGTTTTATTTATATGACGCTTACAACAGCAGCTGATTTGCCTGGCTTTGCAAAAAGACTTAAAACAGGGAGGAACTGCAGTCCTGGCTCTGCTTAAAGGTAACAAAATCATCCTGCTCGTACTCCTGCCGTTTATAGATCAACATGGTTTATCCTATTTATGGAATCCACACTAAAACCAAAGTGTAGACAGGAATAACACACACTGTTTCTTGAAAAAAACATAGTTACATCCTGTATTGAGTCTTGACATTACTCTTGAGTTTGCTATTCAAACAGATAAGATTAAAGGAAGTGACGGGATATTTTGAACCTTTTCACCGAGCCGGTGTATCTGTTTCCCCATTATACCAATCTGTAAAGGAAGCCAGGCTAACTGCGTGCTAGCTGGGTAGCTAAACATTATAAGCAAAGGCATGGAGTTGGTATTGATCCTGACCTGCCTTCTGACAAAGGTAAAACATGAGGAGCTTTTTAAACAACAACGGATCATTTACGTTTTCATTGTTTAATATCTTTTAATCCTGTCTGCTTATATCTGCGGTCAAGTTCTTAAAAATACTACTCAACCTGCACAGGCAGTCCAGAACCTGACCCATGACTGTCTCGTACAAACAGGAGAAACACTAGTGCTGTGAGGACGTAGATAAATATTTCTTAGTGTTTAAGTAAAGTATCATGTTTTTTTTGTGGATGAATTTGTTTTCAGATTTTTTTTACATTTGTTTGTTTTTAATCATGTCACACAGACAAAGTTCTCATCTGTTACACCGTGACACAGTATCAGGTGTGTTGTCTCACCTCACACCCTCCATTGGGCCTACTGTAGGTACCTGCAACCCCTACCTCTCATAAAACATCCATACTCGACTGAGATATGTGTTGTAATATATTTATGTTTGACTATATTTATTCTGTAATGTCTGTAGGTATGTTGTTTTTAGGGCACAGTGACTACTACCAGTGCAGAAGACATTGTCAGATGTTTGTATGCCCTCTGCCTGCTTTGCTAATAATAAGGTATTACCTTACTACTATTTGTAGTGTATAACCACTAACCTTAAAAGAGGATCTTGTGAATGGTGCTTTTGAACTACTGGAATTACCTCCGACCTTAAGAAGGAAAACACTGACTTTTGTCTCTTAAGCAGACGTAGGCTCTGCATAGAAAGCATGTTATGGTCCTCTTATTAATGTTGCTGAATATCTAGCTGCAAAGCTGCCAGATGTACCAGAGAAATCACTGCATGAGTAAACCCGCTCCTGAGTACTACTAAACTCATCCTAAATGACTTTCATCATGACCACTACTACAACTACCAAGCAACCTAACATGCTCTGGTGTTCAGCTTTAACCAAAGTTAGAGGATATAGGTGCAGATTTTTTTTGTTTTGTTCTTCTCAAACAATGCAGCTTCTTTTGATTTAAAGAATGGCTGAATAAAATAAAAAATAAGTCAATGAGCAGCTAGAAAACCTTTGGTCGTCATTCATATTTGTGATGGTCAATTGTTCTATGAGGTCTGTATCAGAAAGTTAAAGAATACTTGATGCACTATGTGCCATAAATTTTGTAAAAAATGTAATCCTGTTTGTCCTTTTTTTTGTAATAACCGTTAAGATGTGTAACTTATGATATATGTGTATTTTTAATATTCATACTTGAATTGTAAACAGTGTGCTAAATATTGAATGGGCATTGGTACTGAAAAAAGTGTGCTTTTTTGCCAGGCTTTATCCAAAGATGTGTTTTTAAGAATCATATAAACCGTGCAGTATGTATGTTTGTAGCCTGTATAAAAGAAATGAATGATTGATTCTGGTGCTATGGTTACTAATCGTACCAATACTGTATGTCTTGCTACTACACTAACACTGTAAAAAAATCTGTAATAATAAAAAAGGCTTTTCAGCTGACTCACACTGTGAATTATGTTTATTTATTTGTGTTGTACATTTGTGAAGAAAGGTGAACATTTAAATATGTCCTTTTTTTGTTGGTTAAGTTCATGGACATGTAAGAATCTATCTTACTGACTTTGGAGATCCCCTTACTTTTCCTCTACAGCTGTTGCTTTGAAATGTTTGACAGACATAAATGTTCCCCATCAGGATATTTTTCTAAATTAGTTTGATGACCCTCTGACTTTTCATCAGTGATAGGGAACATGGTAAACATCTGTAAAATGTTTACCTCTATAAATTACAACATCAAAGTTCACTCTTAAAAAGTAAATAAAGTTGCTATGATGAGTTTTAGGAGGAAATATAATATTTATTGTCTTATTTAAAAAAGCTAAAATATGTCAATATACTGTATATCATTTGTTGATGAATTATTGTATATTTCAGAGAGTCAGTAGCTTTTTCCTCAAAAAAAAAAGATAGACTTGTACAAAGGTCATACCACTCAACGATCACTTATGGGCCTCTATAGCCAACATGATGACTCATGAGTGATGATGACTGTGTCTGCAGATACAGTCCTCTGCCTTTGTTTTGATGTTTGGGTTTGTTTTGGGGACTTAGGATGTTTCTGGGTGGGGAAGCTGATGTGTTTCCGCCAGCCAATGACGGCACACAGGTGAGTTAAGGAGTGAATACAATTCTGCAACTGCAACGAAAAATGCTACTGATTCCACATTTAGCTGCTACAGTAGAACAAATCGTTTCTCCTTCATGAAACAATGCTGCATTTACTGTGTTACTATAAGCTTCAAGTCTCCTTACTACACATTTAAAGGTTACTTATTGGACTGCCCTTTAAATTGGCTTACTTGTGATGTCACAACATTATGCTCATATGAAGGCCTTTATCTACTAATTATAAACATTCTACGATACTCAAGAGGAATTCAATCCCGTCAACAGATGAAAAAAAAGCTCCTTTTTAAAGTCATACTCTGCGTGATATCTAACATCAAAGTGACATAAAAACAAGAACATATTTGTCAATGGAGTAAGGTTTATTACACATACACTTTGAAAATAATAGTTAACATTTTTGTCTTTTTTGTCACCACAGCAAAGATTATCTTAACTGCACAAGCCCGATCGGTTAATAAAGAAGGGCAGCAGGTCAGACTTGGCCGGGTTCTTGCGCTCTCCAGATTGTGGCTCCATGTGGTTCCACTTATTGTTGCGGGCTGCATTTCCACAACATGACTCTCTACAGCTCAGATACACTTAACATACACATAAACAGAGCAAATGCCTTTAAATCTGTTTCTCACTGAAGTACACATATTCTCAGGTTCTGGAAACAGCTGAAGCTGTCAACCGCCCGATGACTCATCAAACTGTTTTGTCAAATCAAAGAATGAGGTCATTTCTAAGTAAGCTTTGAAAACTTCACCAAAAGGTGGAAAGTACCATTTTTGAGGGATTATGTCACCAACTTGAATCAGTAATAAAAGGTGCAAGTACTTGAGTAAAAGGCAAACTGTTTATACCATAGCCACTTTTCCAGGGCTCGTTGCAGGGAGATAGCTTTGTACATTAACTGAAAACAGATCTGGTGGTCCCTCAAGAACTGCTTTGATTTCTTGCCAGGAGCCTGCCTTGTTTCCTAAAATCTAATCTAAGGATTTGGAGGAGTCCTGGAGCACGACAACATCCCCCCCTCTTTAAAATCAGTTTTCCAGGGAAACATGCAGACTCTTGAGACCGTGGAAAAGTTAGAAAAAAGCTTGCCTGGCCTGCCTGCTGTAAGCATAAACCAGACATCTTTAATGACTGAGCTGAAAAACACAAACCTGCTCCGTGAATCCTCATAAAATACACTAATGATTGATGTTTACCATGAAGTGCAGTCTGCTCTGAGGTTACAGCACAAACATTCCTGTGCAATCTGCAGCTGCAACCTGCTCTCAAAAGCACATATTCACAAACCACCGCTCGACTAGTTTGCACTGACACAAAACAAATGTACTCAATCTTTTAGGTATATTATTCAGTCCTTCATTCTGTGGTTTACATAATGTGGCTTTGGAATTTTTGTTTAAATTACACCACAGTGGCTTTTATGTGTTATTGAGGTAACAAGGCGAAATCATAACTGGTATCCAGATAATATTAAAGTATCTGCAGTACTTGTTTCTTATCTGCCTAAGTGACATTTGAAATGCAACTATATCAACTTATTTACATCTAATCAATCCAGTAAGACACTGTTTCAAATGCAGAATTTAATACTATTGATTGAAATTTGATTTCTAGGTATCTTGTTTCATGTTCTTCTTAAACTGAGCCAACAGTGCCCCCTACTGTATTAAATAAGACCTAACATCCCCTGTCCTAGTTACAGCACACACAGCTCTTGTATGTTATGTTTGAATGATTCATAAATTATAGGAGGAGAAATGGGCCATTGGTTAGCGTGGCGGTTATGATACGCTCCCCATGCTCGGAGGCAATAGTCCTCGTCGCAGCGGCTGTGGGTTTGAATCTGACTGAGTCTCTTTGCTGCATGTCATCCCCAACTCTCTTCCCAGGATTTTCTGTCTCTCTTCAGCTGTCCTTTCCAATAAAGGCTAAAATTCCCCCAAAATTAACCTAAAAAAAATTAGAACTGGCTGACACACATTTTAAGACGATAGAAAATGTCCAAAGAAAAAGGCCATTCAAAGTTTTACAAAAAAATCACTTTCCAAATTATTATTATTTTTTTTTTGGTTTTTGATTCAAATAAATGTCTTGCTGTCTGGCACTAAAGACTTTTGACATGTCACAATGCCATGGTGGCATAATAAGTGTGTGTGTGTGTGTGTGTGTGTGTGTGTGTGTGTGTGTGTGTGTGTGTTTGTGCATGTGTGTGTGATCACTCTCTCTTTCTGGTGAATCTAAAGGATCTGTGTGTTTAATGTACTGCAACTGAGTCTCTCTTATTAGCTATACGAATTCTGAATGAGCATGCAAATTAAGGAAGATTAATTGGTTGCAGCCTAACATATAAATGTTTAAAGGCCATGGTTCTACTAGCATCTCCATTTTAAACTATTTGCAAAGAAAATACAAAATAGTTAGGAGTTATTAAAAAAATAAGAAGTAGAGACTTCTTGTTGTTGTGTGTTTTGTATGGGGATTTCTCCTCAAATGTTTCCAATTATTTTTTTCACTTCAGTAACAAGTACACTTCAAATTGGATGGAACAAAACATATGCTGAAGTTTTCTGTGCTCATTGTAACAAATCTTTGTTCCTGACCAGCAGATGGCGGTAAAGCATCACACAACTGTTGGCTGATTCACTTCAATGGCAGTCTATAGAGGCCAGTGACCAAGCATACTATTCTATGATGGTACAAATACATTTGTTCTCCCTATGTCATACTGCCTCTGAAGTATTAATGATGTCCTATTGTCTATATGGCTTCTTAGTTATTCAGATCCTTCACTATTACTTTCTGACATCCATCCATTGGACAGTGGAAACATTGCTTTGAACAGTATCAATTTCATCTTCTGATGCACCATGTCTGCTTCAAAATCCATGAAACTCCACACACCATTACACACTTATCTCCACTGCCAACTGCAGCATCAGTAGTTGTGGGGTAGAAGCTGCTGGCAATTTGCCTCACAGGCGTTATACAGACTCTACTGTCAGCCTGTCTGCCAGCTCTTCTGAAGGAAATCATGTCAGCTTTGACTTTAACTGGCTAAGACTGAATGAGGTCATATTTAGGTATTGTGTTACATGTCTAGAGTGTCCACTTTGCAACAGCTGCATGTGATGTGTGGCAGACTGCAGCCTCAGTCCAAAGCTGACCACCACCTCTTCTCTGCACAGCGCTGGGTGGTATGTTGTCAGAGACGGGCACGGTCCAACTGGAGGAGGTATTATGGGGGTTGGAGGTTTTTATGTTGGGGCCCCTGGGGTGTGAATGTATGTTCCAAAAGCCCATATGCACATGTGTTATGGTGGAAAATGGACTTGCATTGTTTGATCCATAAACGTGAGACCTTGGCATGGATCACACATTAGAGCATGCAGTAAATGGACACTTTGAGGAATTTGTGCTTTGGGATCTTGAAGACTTGATGCAAAAAGGTATCAGATAAGGGGAAAAAATTGAGCCTATAGTGCTATAAGTCTGATGAAGGGAACATAGACATTCAATAACAGGAAAAAAACAAGGCACTATTCTAAAGTATCTCAGCTTTTTTTTTTTAGGATAATTAAGCTTCATTTTTTTTCAAAGATGCAACCATCTTGAACCAAATGGTTCAAGACCTTCCTCTTTAACACAAAGTTGTTTTTAGCATGTTCACTTTAAAATAGCTAAGTGAATATAAAGACATTTTTCATGACATTGTATCATATCTCATCGTATCACATGGCATCGTTTTGTATCGAATCGTGTCCTTTTGTATTATATCTTATTGTAGCATATCATATAGCATTATATCGGCAGTTATCCTGCATTTCCCACCCCTTTAAGATACCTTCTTTCAAGTCCATATTTGTAGACATTTTTGAGGTGAAAGTTCTCTGTTTGTTGCACAAACAAAGTTGTAGTTCCCACAGTAAAGAAACACACAGTAGTCATTAAAACCTGCTGACAGTCATTTAGTAAATGCACACATTATGACCAGTGAACACAAAATACTTTCCCATTGTAAAACGTAAAGCTGTTAGGCAGCCTGGAAAATGTTGCCCCATGTCAGCATACTTCCAAATGAATGAGGCAAAGGCCAGACTGAGCTCTAGCTGAGAGCTGTGGACTCCCTTTTGTGTGTGAAACTAGCAGGCAACGTACAGGATAACAGGAGAGCTAATTATTTTTAACAGCTTAACACTCCAATCAAATGAGCTTTCTGGAGATTTTAACTCAATGTTGTGGCTAACGTCACCAGAGAACAATAAACCTCTTTACAGAATGTCGTCTTTGTTCTCCTGCATTTCACACTGACAA